GATTGAAGATTTTATTGTTAACAAAATGACAAAAAAGTATTTGTTGTTGTTATTCTAACAATCGTCGAGGACACCTCACGTGGTCTCTGATGACACGTGTCTAGTAGATTGTTGAAAACGGCGCCGTTCCATCGGTCGGTAGATATGTTCAGATGGGCCAGCTTTAAAAGTCTCACACGTCTTTCCCCGGAAAGTTTAATTTTCTCACCGAGAAAGTGACGGGAAAACGAAATCCAATCGGGATAGATAAACCTAAAACCTAATCAGTTTTTAGCTCCGATTCACAAAGAATCATCCATGTCTCTGCTTCCGATTTCAATCGTCTCGTTTCTCTTCGTCTTCTTCTCCGTTGCTCCGCCGTTCATCACCGCCGCTACGAATGACGATTTACCGACGGCTTACTCTCTCCTCCAAAGCTACAATTTCCCCGTCGGAATCCTTCCTATAGGAGTCGTATCATACGATCTGGATAAATCCACGGGGAAATTCCACGCGTACTTCAACAATTCGTGTAGTTTCGCTCTTGAAGGTTCGTACCAATTGGATTACAAGTCGACAATCTCTGGTTACATATCGGAGAACAAGATCACGAAGCTTACCGGCGTGAAGGTGAAGGTTTTGTTCTTGTGGTTAAACATCGTTGAGGTTACCAGGAAAGGAGACGAGCTCGGATTCTCCGTCGGGATTACATCGGCGAACTTCGCGATCCAAGAGTTTTACGAGTCGCCACAGTGTGGTTGCGGATTTGATTGCAAAGATTCGAGATCGAAATCGGAGGAATTGGGAAGAAACCCTTTTGTTTCTTCGATTTGAAGATATTTTTCTTTGGATCCTTTTGTTGTTTCTCCAATCATTTTGACAAATTGTATTTGTCTGTGTTTTCAATTGCATCTCTGTTCTTGAGTAATCATTGTATTTTAGGAATATACAAGCAATAAAAATGGTGGAAGCAAAATGTTATTTTTATGAGCTTCTTGTAGTTGTGTTATGAGCCAGTAACATGGTCTTATCTTCGTCATCAAAGACTTCGGTGGAAACTAATTTACTCCATTCAAAGTGCAACTTGAACATGAGCACAGATCAAGTTTTATTGGGATATACTTGGAAAACAATTGAATCCGAAAGCGAGTTTTGATGTAAGAATTGAACTACAGGTTACATTCATTGGAAAATTCATATGTATGATCTGATTTTTGTACTGGCAAACAGTATTTTGAAGATGAAGAAGTAGCAAGATAGGTTGTTTTTGTTTTCTTTGGTTCTGGTGAAAGTTCTGGTTAATCGGAAACGGTGTATTCAGCTGAACCAGTTATTGGGCTGAAGAACAGATTCGACTTTTGGGCCTGGATTCGGGTGGGTTATTAGTATAAAACCCCAAATACAATAGGAATGGTCCTAGGCCTTATTTGTTTATGGGACTCTTTATTTCTACATGTACGTTTGATGATTTTCTCTTTCGTATTGGAAAATTGGAGTACATGATATT